GTGTGTGTGTGTGTGTGTGTGTGTGTGTGTGTATGTGTGTGTGTGTGTTTTAGTGGTAGGTGATTTCACGTCCCCATCGACACAACTTAGATCATTTTAGGAGACACACGTCAACCCTGTCCGTTAGGACCAACCCGGGCGGAGAGGGGTATAACATCCCAGCACAGAAATATTGGTAATATTCTCTTCATTCATTAATTCAACTCGGGTCTGCGTATGACTGCTACACCACGGACACAGGTCAAGACGGTATTTTTTTTTTAACCTGCTGATTCTGGGACAGTGGGTAATTTATTATCTTGATTTTTTTCAAGAAAACGTTGCCTAATATCAAATTTGGTTTTCTGTTCCAAGGCTTTACTGCGTGTCCTGAAAATGAGCCTGTATTTGAGCCTAGGCTTTTCCTTTGCTGGTTTGAAGATTTTTTAATATAAATTGTTTGTTTGTTTTTTAAATTTTTTTAAAAAGATTTTTTAAAATATAAATTGTACAGGATACACCAGTTACGCCTGCACATGCACAGGATGCCGCGGTGTAGTCACTTACCTGCGGAACGATGTTCAGGGAGATGTCGTACACTTATCATCTGCCCAACAGACAGATATCCAGAAGGCCACCATATGGCACATTGGTAGGAAGTTTACAATCTACAATGTTTACAGCCCTTCACAGACAACATGCGACTTGTCTGATCTACAAGCAACTAACTATGAGAAAACCATTTGTGCGGGTGACTTCAATGGCTGCTCCCCTGAATGGGGCTGCACCAGCTACAACAACACAGGCCGAAAGATCAAAGAGCTTTGTGAAACCAGCAACCTCTCTGTGTTGCAAAATGCTAACTCCACTCCTACCCTACTTCACAGAGCCCACTTGACTCTCAGCCGGCCAGATCTCACCATCTGCTCATCTGACATCAAAAACGCCTGTCGCATCGAAGTGATTGATGACATAGGAAGTGACCACAGACCTATCTTTACACAGATCACCTCCCCACCCACTTTGAACCACCCTCGGAGAACTCGATGGAACTTTAAGAAAGCCAACTGGGCAGAATACAAAAAGACCTCAGACAAATTGCTCTCTAACATAGTAGAAACAGATGATGCTGATCTTTTTAATGAACAAGTCACTAAAAATATTCTTAAAGCCGCATCTCTGCACATTCCACGGGGATGCCGAAGAAATTACAAACCCTTTTGGAATGAAGAAATCCAGACTGTCGTGGCAGAAAGAGAGAAGGCCAGACAGTTACTGGAAAACTCACCATCACCAATAGCCAGAACACACTATAACAAGACCTGCGCTCAGGTGAAAATGACAGTAAAAAAAGCCAAAAATGAAAAATGGACCCAGACTTGTGAAGATCTTGACCTTCGCCACAATGGAACAAAGGCTTGGTCCCTTGTCAGCAACCTCTCAGGAGAAAGACAAAAAGGCAACCCCAAACCTATTTTCCTTCCAGGCAACACCATCGCAGAAGACCAGAAGAAAGCTGAACATTTTAACCGGTATTTCGCCTCTGTAAACAGGGCAAGTAGACTAACCGAGGCCGATAGACTCCTCATAAACAAGGCTAAGCATGACGAAAAAGCCCCTACCGTGAACAACACCCTTTTTGAGGAGGATTTCAGCATGATGGAACTTGGACAGGCCCTCAAAAAATTAAAGCAAAAGAAAGCCCCAGGACCAGACAAAATATACAACGAAATGCTGTGCAACCTTGGTGATAAAGGAAAAGATGTCATACGCCGCTTAGTAAATACCACTTGGAGAACGAGCGGAATACCAAAGGCATGGAGGATCGCCCAGATCATACCGCTCCTGAAGAAGGGGAAACCACCTGGAGAAGCGAAGAGCTACCGACCTATATCACTAACATCATGTATCGGTAAGCTTGCTGAAAGAATGGTGAACAACCGCCTTTACTGGTACCTGGAAAACTCCAACAGCTTGAACCCACACCAAGCAGGCTTTAGAAAAGGCAGCAACACAGAAGACCAACTTTTCAAACTAAGTCAAGACATCCAGGATGGTTTCCAGGAGACTAAACACACTGTTGCCACCTTTGTAGATCTCCAACAGGCGTGTGACAGAGTGTGGAGAAAAGGCCTACTCATGAAAATGATGGACCTCGGGATACACGGGAAACTTTATAAATGGATCAAGTTTTTCCTTGCGGATCGAAACATCGAAACAAAGGTGAACAATGCCCACTCGTCAAGAGAAGTACTCGAGGAAGGCCTACCCCAAGGTTCCTGTCTGAGTTGCACTTTGTTCCTGATCTTCATTAATGATGTGACGAACGTGCTGAAATCAGAAAAGACTCTCTACGCTGATGATCTTGCTCTCTGGCAGACACATCGCAGCACGGTAGTAGGAGCAGGAAAATTAAATGAAGACCTCAAGAGGCTCCACAATTACTGTCAGAAATGGAAGCTCAAAATAAACTGCTCGAAAACAGTATACACCATCTTTACAAAGAGCCATAAAATAGCCAAAGAAAAACTCCAACTGAAAAGAGGAAATGAAAAACTCCCCAAAGAAGAACAACCAACGTATCTAGGAGTCAAACTTGACCAAAGTCTAACAATGAAAAGCCAAGTGGAGAGCATAAAGAACAAGGCGAAAAGAAGACTCCAACTTTTAAAGAAACTTGCGAGCAGTTCATGGGGATCAGACAAACAAACTCTGAGAGCTCTATACCTTGGTTATGTCCGATCTTCCCTGGAATACAGCAATAGCCTACTCACTATGTGTAGTGCAACTACTTGCAATACCCTTGACAAGGTCCAAAATAATGCCCTTCGTTTCATTAATGGTGGCATGAGATCTACACCTACTGCCGCATGTGAAATTCTGTCAAATGTTGAACCCCTGGGAATACGCAGAGATAAAGCAGTTTTGGAGCTTCATGAAAGAACCAAAAGAATGTGCCCCAACCACCAAAACAGGAAATTAGTAGAAACATGGAAACCAAAGAAACGACTTCAACAAAAATCAGTCATGCATCGCATCACAGAACTAATGGAGAGCCACCACCTACCACAAAACAGAAGAGAAACCAAAAGAGTCAACCAAAACATCCCTCCCCACATTTCTATGGAAAAACCAATCATTAAATCTTCTCTCAGAGACAATAGCACAAAATCTTCAGACCCAGTGAAGTTGATGCTTTCTTCACACCAAACAATCGACAGCTATTCAGATGACTGGATACACGTCTATACAGACGGCTCAGCATTCAAAGGCACAACCAAAGCCGGATATGGAATACTAATACAGTACCCAGATGGAAGTTCCAATGAGATCTCTGCAGCCTGTGGAGAGAAATGCAACAACTACGACGCAGAAATGATAGCAATTGAAACAGCACTATACCATCTCCGCACAGTTTTTGACACTCATCCAAACAAAAGCCAGAGTATAGTGATCTTCACTGACTCACTATCAGTCTTGCAAGCAATAGAAAATGACCACCATCTAAACGAAGACTTGACACATATACTGTTTGGCTCCCATCATCTGATAACATTCTGTGGCGTCAACCTGGTGATGCAGTGGATTCCCGGACACTCAAACATACCTGGAAATGACAGAGCAGACACACTCGCCAAAAGGGGATCTAGACAGTAACAACCCAACATTCCAACTTCATACCACACTGCAAAACAAATCATTAAAAGCAACAGCAAACAAGATTGGATGAACAGATGGGCCTTGGGAAAGACAGGCAGAGCAGTTTTCAAACATATGACAACAACAAAACGAAATGACAATATCAACCACCT